AGAACCCCCTAGGGCATTGATGAGGCACACCCTTCTCGGTTTCCAGCCAAGGGGGAAGACCTGCCTGGAAGGTACAACTCCACAGGCTGTGGATCCAGACTCAGTGAAAAAAGAGAAAAGAGAAAGCTAGTCAAGCACCAGCATGCCCCTTCTCTGCCTCCTGGTCCTTCAGGTCCTGAGGTGTGAGCAGACAGCCCCTGCCACCACCCAAGATGTACTGTACCCTCAAATGCTAGACAGATAATCCTCTCCTCCAATAAAGTCGCCCTTAATCAGATTATCGATCTCAGAGACTAAAAAAATAATTTATCCGTCCCATTTTTCAGGTGTGAAAAGACCAGGAAATGTAATGGACAGGTTTGTCCCTGCTCATCAAGCTGGGAGTAGCCTAGCTGGATTTGAGTCCTGGAAGTCAAACTGTAGACTCTCTACCCTCATAAAGTTATGATGGAAGCGTAATACATGACTCAGGTCTAACATACATGTAATATATATTAGATATGGCACAGGGTATCAGTAGGCATCCATAGCTGGTTTCAAAATCATGATCCTCTGCCTCAGCTTCCCAAGTGCTAAGTACATCAGTACATCTGGATTATCATTTTATTTATGGTACTATTTTATGGTTTTATATTGCCAAACCTTTGACTAACCACACATTCACATTTTGTTCTTCTTGTGCCCTAGAAAACATGTCACTCAACTGGAAGTCCCCTAAACGGGACATCCCAAGGGTGTGTCTAGCGGCTTTGTTGCTGTGGTGATGTTGTGTCAACAGAGCAGCTACTGACTGTCCCCAGAGGTGAGCCACATCCATTCGTTAAGTCTGACCATCACATAATGTCTGCTGTGGCAGCTGGCAATACCACCTGGTCCCTTAGAAGATGAAGGGGTTTTTTCACAGTAATGGCAGGGTCATCATGGTCACAACAGGCAGAAGCCATGACAGGCACTACTTTTCTTTATTTATTCTGAAGCTGGTTCTCAAGAATCTCAGTCTGTACCTGAACTTGCTATGTAGCCAAGAGTGACTTTGAACTTTGATCCTCTTGCTTCTACCTCCTGAGTGCTAGAAGAATAGGCAGGTTCCTCCATGCCAAGGTTAAATGGTATTAGAGATGAAACCTAGAGCTTTACACATGTTAAGATAGCACTTTTCTAGCTGAGTCACCCCCACCTTTAACTCCTTGAGAACATGTTCTGGATTTTATTCCAGAATTCTACTCCATAGCAGAGGTTCCCACCTGAAATAGTCACCCTGTGTAGCACCCCAGAGAAGAGCTAGATGAATGAGGGGCCAATGAACCTTTGCCAGTAGTTAAAGTGATACATACACATGACATTGTGTAAACTTCTAATTAGACAGAGAAATTGCAAAGGAGAAGTTGTGATGAGTCCATCACCTTACAGTCAATAGAGAGAGAGTTTCTAACATGATCAATTTGTTATAGAATTAACTGTTGGGGAATGGTCTTGTGCACTGTGTATTCAGATGCTGATTTCTGTGTCCAGAGATCTGGTTGTGGTCCTGACATGGACATTGTCATGATCATTGAAGAATCTCCTGTATCAATGTTGTGTAAAAATTGCTCCCCAATTATCTCTGATTGGTTAATAAAAAAGCTGATTAGCCAGTAACTGGACAGAGGAGACAGAAGGTGGGACTTATGTTCCCAGTCAGAGTCTCAGAAAGGGAGAAGAAAACAAGTTGCCGTGGAGAGGAGCGGGTGAGTACGCCAAAAGGAGGAGTTGCCACGAGGATAGAGTTACAGCAGACGCCAAGGCAAGACCAGGATGGCAATTAAAAGGGCACGTGCCTGGGAGGTAGACAGACTAGCATAATTGGGTTAGAGTAGATGGATATCTGCCCAGTTATAGAGCTTAAAGCTTATTGAATAAATCTAACAGGTCTCAAAAAAAAAATCTAATAGGCCTCTGTGCCAATTATTTGGGTGTTAAGGTGGGTACAAAAAAGTCTCCTAATAATACCATAATTCAGCACTTAACAACATAAGCTGATATTGGCTATCTGCATCATAAGCCTTGGAAACAGACAGAAAAGGGGTCGTGGGGGCTCCAGCTAGTGGAGTGCTTTTCCATTATGCATGAGACCCTAGTTTCAACCTTCAGGAACCCACATACCCACGCTCAACCACACCCTTCCAAGCTACTGCCATACAGTCTGTTTTTACTAATCCTCAGATATAGTAAAGACTATATCTTTGCTATAAAAGATACAAATCAGAAATACCTTAGTATATGAAGGGCTTAATTAGAAAGTTATAATACAACCATCAGCAACTATGTTGACCATATCACCACAGAAACTATGTAGTTGTGCAAATTTGACCATGCAATATAATTAATTGTAAAAACAGATTAAAATTGGGTATAAAATCATATTTTATAAAGTCAAAATCTATAAATCCATTATGAATATTAAATTTTAACAGATTTTCTCTGGGGAGGAACCATGTTGCTTTGCATTTTCTAGACATTTACTATAGTGATGGTTTAAATTACCAATAAGATTGCGTTTTCTACTTAACCTTTTTTTTTTTCTGGGTACATTACTGTTTTCACTCCTGTAGATTTCTACATTATTTTCTCAGCCAGCTCAAATGTAGAGTACATTTTACCCTACCAGAAGGGAAAGGCAGCCAGTGCCCTACCACCCTCAACACCCAGTGTTCAAGTTCCACACATACCAGGAAGCCTAGGGCCTGATGTAGTTGATGGTTCTGATTAAAGGGTTTCCCATCCTGAGACTCAGTAGTTTATACTGCTGTGTTTATTTTTGCTGGGGTTTATCCTAAAGAGAGTCAGAATCCCAAAGTAAAACAGGTCAGAGAATGAGCTGAGCAGGAGCCAGTGAGAACAGTCTGTGCTACAGACTGTGAAACTGCTTACGCTGCAGATCTGGCATTTGCCTGAGGGAGGACAAGCCTCAGGCTGTCCCTCCCACCATCAGGCAAGCAGGAAGGTGCCACACCTCAGATTTCTGGGCTTGAGATAACTGAATTTTTTTTTGGAAATTGGGAAGCATGTTTTTGATGATGGGGCAGGCCATGCCTGGAATTCCAGCACTCAGGAGACTGAGACAACTGGATTGCTGGGAGTTCCAGGCTATCCTGGGCTACATAGTGAGGCCTTGTCTCAATCAATCAATCAATCAATCAATTAATCAGTCAATCAATCAATCAATCAGTTTAAAAGTATTTTTTTCATTTATCCTCCAAATGAACATTAGAAACTGATTTGCTTTCATATTACGCAACAAGTGGATAAAATGCATCAGCACTCCACTGAAGCCCTCTCAAATGTTAGGACATATTTAAGTATATCCAGCTAAGGTTGAGCACCAGTGGTCAGATGCATGAATATATGCTTTTAGCCAGTGCCAGCTGCCACCTTGGCAGAGCCAGAAGGGAAGAAAGTTCCTTGAAAGCAACTCTCATATTCCCAGGGAGAGCAGGACTCTCTTAAGTCTTTGGTGAATTTCCCAAACTGCTCTTACACTGTAAAATGCCTGTTTCTTAAAATGATTGATAAAATGGGGAAACTGTTGTCATTTCTTTGTGGGACTGAGTGACACTGATACATTTGTTCATTCTGTCATTAAGCACCCACCCTGGGAGAGCTAGGGAAGAGACCAGGGCCTGTGCAGCTCACATTCATGAAAAATAGACACATGACGAGGCTGACCACAAGCCAACAGCCGCATCCCATATCCACTTCTTGACACAGGTACTTGGAACTGCTCCCATGAAGGCTGTTCAGACCCACTGAAGCTAAGCTGAGCTGATGCATGCTTTGGCTACCAGCAAGATAGCATAACCTTGTGTGCTTCTTTCTTCTCTCTCTTCTGGAACCCTGCCTCTGAAAATAACCTGGCTCAGCCCACATAGAAGAGAGAGGAATCTTTCTAGCCAATAGTCAACACTTCCAGAAACACAGCTGAGCCAAATCATAGTTGGCCAGAGACACATGATCGAGACCAGAGGAGACACACGGAGGCTCACAGAACCGTGAGCTGAGCACAGAGCTCTGGTGTGAAGACTTGGAGATGTCGGCGACACGGTGGACAACAGGGCTTGACTAGCATGGACAGAAACCACTTGTGCCGATAGCCCAAAGCCACAGAGCCTATAAACTTACCCTAGCACCCTAACAATGTAAGTGAATCATGCAGTCTAGGTATGAAATATCGGACCTGAACAGCCAGATGGAGGGAACTAGGAAGCAGCAGTGTGTGCAGGGAAGGGTGGCCTCAAGACGACACAGCCCCTTGAGGCATTTCTGCGGATAAGCTGCATCTGCCTATGAGTCACTTTTGGTTTCTTCCTTAAAAGAGTACATGGCCTCTTTCGCTCAGTTATGCTTCTTGGACTTGATAAGGGTTGTCTAGCTTGATTCAAAGCAGCTGTCTCCTCATCTCTGACATGTGTTCAGCCCCCAGTGCTCTGTGGGCAGGAGCTTTACTCCGACGCTGCCGAATTTACAATGCATCTACGGTAGCAAGTCTGTACAAGCTGGAAATCAAAGTGTAACTCAAAGGCCACAGGGCTGAGGAGGCAGCCAGGAGATAAATCCCAATTTCAACCTTGGCTCAACTGCAAGTTGTTTCAGTGGACTGTCAGTCGTATTTAAAAATAAAATAGAACTACAAAGACAACGAATGGCATGCCCTGAAAGAAACAGGGCCATGTTGCTTAGGACTCCTTGAAAAGGTTCTTAGCAAGAAAGAACTTGTATGTGTGTGCTGGGGGTATATTTTAAAGGCCTGGTAATGTTTGGCCTCAGTCACTCATTTACAGACATCTCTGAACTTTAAACTAAAGAAATGCAAGCAGATGGCAGAAACTGTGAGATGGGCCAAGCTACAATCCCAGCTGGACGTGTGATGCTGCCGTTTTCAAACTAGCTTGTTTCTGGAGTAGGGGAGGTCACACCATGAGCGCTAAGGAAAAATGAGGAGGTGAGGCGCTGGGGGTACTCACCTTGCATCCTTCACAGGCACTGACGCCATAGTGGTAACCCGATGACTTGTCCTGGCAGACGAAGCAGGGCTTGTATACCCGAGGAGGAGGAAGCGGAGATGGTGGGCTCGGGACGAGCTCCTCAGAGCTGGTGCTCTGGGTCTCTATTGCTAAGGTGGAGAATGAAGGGAGAGGAAATGAGAAGGCATATTTCAGTTCCTTTAGGCTTTCCCCAGTCAGTCCCAACATCTCTGCTCCAAGCTTAAGCAACAACCCTAGCAGGACTAACACAGAAGCTGTTGTCCTGTGATCCCAGCAGCGGTGAGGCTGAGCGGCCCCTGCAAGAGCAACCTCACATGTATCTAGTTTGAAGTTCACAGGCGCCATGAGTGTGGAGGATCCCAAGTTACCCGCGAGAAGCAGCAATTCAACTCAAGTCCCTCAGGCAGAGCTCGTCTAAGACCAGCAGGGAGCAGCAGGTGGAACCAAAGTCCAAAGTCAGCCCTTTGCTAGCCCTGGCTCTCTCCTGTTTACCCTGGCTTTCTTGTACCTAGGGTCGTGGGTGTGTTGTTTGATGCCATTGCTCACTTAACCAAAAGTCATTTATTTATTATTTTTTTGATGACAAAAGAAATACATGTTGAAGTCCAGTGTTGCGGGTGTATGTGGCTGAGCTTTTGCCATGTGGCCATAAGAAAGAAAAGTCATGGCTTTGAGAAGCTCTGCACTGCTTTGAGCTGGCCTGTAGCACCAAGAACTCTGAGCTTAGGGAGTATAGCCACAGGCCTGTGCAAGGAAAAGTTATGTTTTAATAAGGCCCTAAGATAGCGTGCAGTTCATGTTGGAAGTGGACTATGTCACAGCTAACCTCTAACTTGTGTACATATTCTGGATGTTTGTTTATTTATCTGAGGAAACGGGGTCACTGTTATAGGCCAGACTAGTCTTAACCTTCCAGTTCTTCTGTTACTGCCTCTCAGATGCTGTAACATAGACATACGCCACCATGCCTGGCTTTTATTCCAGACCATTAACAACATGATCCCTATTTTCATTATTGAACTGTTCAAACTCCACTGAAATGGAAATTTGTAGAGCTTGGCCCAGAATGCTCTTCCACCAAAATCAGAATAGGAACTGTCCTTTTGCTTACTGAAGGCCATAAAATATGAAGAGCATAAATGGAAGGAGTCAAGTGCTGTTCCAGAACCTTCCACTCTCCAAATCACTCCACAACACTCCAAATACAGAGTGTTCTCAAGATCATCAAGTTTCTAGTAGTTGCACTGCTCATCATTGAACTAGAGATGCTTTCCGGACACGTTTCTTCTGTAGCCACACCCAGAGCACCCAGGTTCCACCACTTGCTGAACTGGATGCTAACCCAGGCTGTCTCAGTGGTAGGCTCCCACGCTGTGCACAGTAGGCTCAGCCACAGCAGCCCTTTCCTCAGCCTCCTGGAGTCCACACTCTCCACCCTCACATTGGTGTAGGCAGGATAAAAAGGTTGAAATTAATCAGTCATCTACACACAGAGAGTCCCCCAACAGTCACCGATGAGGTCAGAGCCCTCACCACACTCCACAGCGCTTTCATGACATTCCTTCAGCAATGTTCACCTTTCATGATTTCCTTATTGGCTGAGTTCTAAATAATCTCTTTCCATTCTTTTGAACAAGACAAGTTTGCATAGCAATGTGAGACACCATCATGTACAGCCTGTAACCCCAGCCCTGTAGGAGAGGCACAGGCTTGATCCCAGGGCTTCTAGGCTGGGCCAGGAGCATTGCAGACCCAGATAGGTGAGCAAATAACCAGACTAACCATTTTCCTCACCTACACATTCCATGACCATCAGGTCTGGCTGTTGCTCATCTCTTAGATGACAGAGTAGTGTCACTCTCAGAGGTGACCACTCTAATTGAAGTGTCTGTGCTGTGGAGAGGGGTGTTGCTCAGTGGTAGAACTTCCACTTTGCGTGTGTGACATGATGGGATCAACCCGCAGCACAAAACCAAAGGACAGAAGAAAAAACATAAGGCCCCTCCCTATCCATCCTCACTGTGCCATATTATTTTATCTTATTTTATGTAAAACTTTAAGTGTTGTCAAAATTTAGAAAGTTGGTTTGTTGACAACTTTATATATTACAAGCCCTCTTTCCACCAGTCTTGTGAGGCCAGGATTCCTCCCCACAGTGCTTACAGCTGTGGGCCACAAGAGAGCTCTTCTTATACAGCAGATGATCAATAAACACTGGCTGAACTAACCCATGAACTTTTCCCTTTCTTTCCTCTTTTCAAACACTAAGTGTTTTTCTAAGTAGTTACATGATGAAATTTGAAATAAAAAAGCACTCTTATACTCATTTGCTTCCTTAAAAAAGTAATTAGCCCTTTGGAAAAGAATCAACTATAATTATACTATTTTCATAATTCATAAGAATCTTGGAGTGAATTCACTGGGGTAGTATGAGTCCCAGTAGAAAAATCCATTACGGTCTTTATAGGTTAGATCTGAGGACAAAGATGAAGACATCAATCTCAAGTGCCCACTTCTTCTGGCATATAAAAACCCTGGCTTTGAGGACTGTGGTATGGTGGTGCCAAGTGTCCAGCAGACAGGGAAGACTTGAGAAGCTGCCTGGGTTTGCCAAGATCAAACCCTCGTGGGAAAGCAGCCTCACACTCCTCAGTGTCCCTCCAAAATCAGATCGGGAATCATGGCGTAAAAACAGTACTTGTTGAAGTTAATACTTCCATCTTTGTAAAAATTGTAAGAAAGTTCAGGCAAGAGTGGTTTGTGCTAGCACACACATCTCACAATCTCTTCACTTGTGATCTTGAGGCATCCTTGCCAGACTTTTTTCCATGTACTTAAATGCCTTTGTTTGCTTACTAAAGTGGAATTGTACTGAGACTGGGGCACTGTTTGGTTTATGACATCATGACTGTAGTTCCTTGTTAGTATTTTTCCTCCAAAACATCTCACAGGACAGGAATGAACATCTTCAAAGATAATCTCAGTGTATTTGCATCTATTGCTTTAGGATAAATTCTCAGAATTGTAATTGTTAAGTTTAGTAGAGATGATATTTCAAAATGATAGTGTTAGTGTTTCGTTCATGCTGAAAAGCTGTCGTGTAGGAAGGCTGCCCATGCTCACGGCCCTTGCTCCCATGCTCACCTTCCAGGCTGGGTTGATACTGTGTGTGCTTTTGTTTTTGCATCAACAGCTCTGCAAAACATCATTAGTGAGCACCATGTTCTGCACATGAATGAGACATGGGCTTCCGAGGAACGGCTGCTTTGTCTCAGTAAATAGTAAATAGTTCTGTCAGGGCTGGACTCAGCTGTCACAGCCATGCCCTGAGCTTCAAATGTGGGTGTTAATTTCCATAAATATGCCATTTCAATACCTGTACTGAAGGGAACCCAACATTTTTTCTTCTCAGTGAGGAAACAGAATGGAGGATAAGCTAATCCCAAGAAGTGTGAGCCACAGAAAGGAATAAAGAGGGGCCTGGAGATGCTCAAAATCCCCAAATGTGTTAAAGGTGCTGAGAAGAGCCTACTGTGAACAAGCAAATTTATAACGATAGATCCAGAAGCTTCCCTGAAACTCCTCAGACATGAAAAATCCATGCCAAGAACTCCGCACAGCATGGCATGGGCCTGCTCAGCACAGCACACGGAACTCTCACACCCTCACTCCATGTGCCCACTTGCTTGTAGTCAGAAGGACTGGGTCATGCCAGGCTGTGCCATATGCTGTGTGGAGCCCCAGATGAGCCGTGCCTGGTGTGGCAGGGCTTTCTTCTCAGTTACTTGGGAGACTGAGGCTGGAGAAGAAGGTGGTAAGCTCAAGCTTGGCCTGGGCTACTAGATGAGATCAAAGCTCAGCCTAGGCAAGTCAACAAGACTGTCTCAAAACTTAAAAACAAAACAAAACAAACAACAACAACAAAAACTGTTATAACTAAATGGTAGCATATTAGCCTAGCATACATGGGACCATGGGTTGAACCCTCAGTACTGAAAAAAAAAAAAAATGTGTATTTACTTATGCAGCCTGTGCTTTTCTGTTTATTCTATGTGAGTGTAGTTCTTAAAGTGCCATGAAACCAAAGGGAATAACTGAAAACTACAGATTTCAGTAGCACCAGAACTGGCTGCAGACAAACATTTCAAGGCACATTGTAGAATGGAACCAGGATTTGGTACTAAGATAAAAGAAGAGAAGGACTTCAGTGGATTCTCTTGGTCTCTAGTAATATAGCATAAAAACACTTTGGCAAAGTTTATCAGAGTTCTTCTTGCTGCTTGCCTGCCCACTTGCCTCCCCAGAAAGAGGTGGGGATCAGTCGGGATCAGAGGTGGCTCTCCTTTCAGGGACAGTTTTGGTATTTAAGGTGGATACAGATGGCTTAGCCATTGATTTGTTCACCATCACCCTGCTTAAATCAATAATCTATTAGTCTCTTTAAATTAGAGTTGGATTCATCAAATGCCCTTGAGATCCTCAAACATTTTCTTCCTTATTCCAGGCAAGTACAATCAGTCTACAGAATGATAAAATTTTTGCTGGAAAACTCTGCCGGCTCAGCAGACAATGTGCTCTGTATTAGCCCATTCAGCAATCTCAAACAAGCCAAAAAGCAGCTTGTAGACTTCCCAAGGGGAAAGAGGCTTGTGTCATTCAATAAAGTAATGGCACTGCAGCCATCCTGGTGGACTACAGGCTGGGGAGTTAGTCTTTGAGGAATGGTTCTGACCTGCTGCTTGCCTCCTGCTCTTATCCATTTGCTTACTTGTTCACTTACTGACTGCTCTGTCGGGCCACCACGTTTCCAACCCGAAGCATCACCCAAATTGCAAACCAGATGGGGTGCTGGCTTCTTTGCTCATGTATGGGAAGAAGAGGTCAACCTGGCCGTATAGTGAAGGGGTGCCCCTGGCAGGGGCTGTGTCAGCAGCAGAGAGGCCAACAGCCTCACTTGGCAATACATGTATCCTGGAGATTGGGGACCTTTGAGAACTAAACACCCTGAGAGTGTCTGAAACCCCATTTCTACTTCAGCATTGACAGGCTGGTCCTCGAGGAAAACATGGTGAAATGTTTGCCTTGCCCCTCTTTCCTTTTCCCTCCTTTCCTTCCTTCCTTCCTATAT